ACAGAACAATGAAGATACTGAATGACATAAATAAGAAGGTGAAGCGCAAGATGTATACCAGGAATTTGTGTTTAAAGCTTTTGCTTTGACTTAAAAGCGTTTTAAAATATTAACTAAGTAACACTACAGACTGTGTATGCACATCAAAGTTTTACTGGAAAAAACACATTACAGCAGTACAGTACAGCCACTGAATGATTATTTGTATATGCATGCTCATATTCTAGCTGTGCAAACATTCAAACACTTGGAGATGTTAAAGGAAAAGGTGCTATCACCCTGTGTCATCTGTGTATGGCATACACAGTATAGATGGCACCTAATGCTGTACCTGCCAATAGTGTCTCAGCCACAACACTGAACCAAGAGAGTTTCTGCATCTCATGCACAAGCTGTTTATATTTTGAGAATTTATTCCAGACATTTGGTTTCCTTTCTCCCTTGCCTTGCTCTCTCCTCAGTCCTCCCTTTTTCTCCAGCCATCTCTTTCCAAATCCTATTCTCTCCAGACTCCTTGAAATCTTGTTTCAAGTTTCTAACTCCTGCAGTGGCATAAGATCATTGACAATCATGATGTTACTTACCACTTCAAAGAAAGGCATATTCCTAGCAAATGTCTAACTTGCCTAATTTACCTAATCCAAGGTAAAAGAAACTCCAGCTCACAGTGTATATATCACTCAATCCCGATTCCTTCTTTCATCAGAAAAGATAATTTCCCGATCATGATGAGTACAGAGCCAACAGGGTAAATTTCACCACTCTTGGACTGCACGATACCACCAAAGCTAGCACATATGGTGCTCAGCTTCTACATGGTTGCTTCATGGGTCAGAGGTCTTCTCTGCGTCTCATCTGGTCCTCTTGGCAGAGGATTTTCACATTCACCATTTTCAACATCCCTGCTTATCTTCCTGTGCACAAATAATATCAGCAGATGTCCAACTTCATGAGTTTAAGTTTCAGCAGAATCCTTCCACCTCTCCCAGTCTAAGTAGTCACCAAAACATTTCTCATCTCTGTCCCATAGACACAGAAAGAAGATGGCCTGCTGATGCCCTCTTTATAAATTTGTTTTCATTATGTTATTCTCAGCTCTGCTGAGTGTGGCAAATACGCCCAGTTATCTGCAAACATCTACCACTATCTTAACTGAAGTCTTGTCAGAGCCTATTTTTCCTTTTCACACCTACCTCCAAATTTATTTCTTTGACAGCTTCAGAGAAACCCTGATGACCTCACAAACAGGCTGTAGGATGTAAGAAATTGGAGGCATTAAAAGAGGGACTGTACTCTCTCAATTTCTGTTTAAGATCATGGACTACTAACAGTCTTCTAGCCTGTTATATTCCCTTACAGTTCAGGTAACTTATGATAACCTTCAATAGTCCCTTTGCTGAGGTATTTTCCCATTTAATGTCTGGGATGGATTGAAGTAGCTTAATCCAATTGCATAGATATAGTTATTTAATGATCATGATATTTGAGATATCAAACCTCTGGAAGTATCAGAATATGACACATGCCTCTTTGAGTTGGCAGGTGGAGCCATGCAGGATATCTGTGGGCTTTTTCATGTCTGTATTTAGCTAACCGAATTGGTTGTGTAGTCACACTTTTCATGAACAGCACTGTTCAAGACTGACAAGATTTCCAAGCTTAAAATTCTGAAAGAAACAATTTGCTCTTTGGTCACTGCTCGTGTGATGACCAAGATAATATCTGATCTACAAGCTTTCATGATATGGAAGCCAATCATCATCTCTAACCATATTTCTCTCTCCATCACCTCTTGCCTTTTAACAATACTCTGGACAAAGATGCACACCAAGTCCTATCTTTCTACCCCTCCTGGCTCCCCCAAAGTCTAGGGCCCCTTCTATTTCAACTGGCAGGAGGTGGTTTCCCTCATAGCCTGAAGCACCATAAGCCAAATAATGCCTTAGGACAGAGGAAGGGGGGTTTGGTGCTTAAAAAAGAACAAGGAGATCAATCAGAACAAGCCACTGGAGGCTGGTTTAGCAGTAATCCCACTCTGGCTACAGTAGGGAGACTGGCTGGGTTTTCTTAGGTATTTTCATGGTGTGATCACCCTTCTCATGGAAAGTACCTTCCATTTACAGCAAATAAAGGATTACTGCAGCTCCTCTGGAAAGTGACTGAGGAGGATTCTCACACCATAGTCATAAAATTTGTTACGTATGGAGGCTTTCCTGATACAATTTTGAATATCCCTCAGACAATATCCCTTCTTTCCATGGTGGTGCAACCTGATGAACCTTTGTAGGGAGCATAATTTAAACCAAAATATTCTTCGGTGACAGGCACCTCCAGCATGGATTTATGTGTTTACTTATCATCACCTTATTGCCCTGCACTTGCTCAAGATCTTTCATGTGATGCTAGTCACTCTAAAAAGAGTAGCTACTCTTCAATCTAGCTTGAATATAATGATCTGTAATGAGGAATACGTCAGCAGATGTTTTAAAGAAACTGGAGGAGAAAGACAGATGCTGCACCTGGAAGCAATGCCCTGCATGGGAGGATGAGTAACGCTTGAGCTGCTTTTAGAGGAAGAATGCCTGCTGGAAGGTAATGAGCTTGCACAGACTGAGGGGCAGACATCATCTGCCTCAAAAATCACAGGAAGCTTGTTCTGGCAAGCAACTGGATTTTCAAATTATGAAATAAAAAGATTGGTTAAGGCTTTTATTAGTAATAATAACCTTATTTTTCTTTTTATATAAAAACAAATGCCAGGTGTAACAGTGTGACGTTTCGCGTTAGCAATCCAAGATTATGCTGACACAAAGTACACTTGACAGAGTTACAACATTTGACTGTTCAGAATCTAAAGCTCAATATAGAAGTCAGCTGTGTGATTGGTAAGTAGGTCATCTGTTGGGAACAGATGTGCTCTCTCATCTGCATTGCTTTGCCAGCTTTGACCTATAATGCCCTAAATGTCCTACTCTGCCTATTTAAAGTGAGTGGAGTGACCCAACGGGATTATTTTCCAGAGGTCTCCTTAACCTGGAATTCATTTCCCACCCTTTTTCCTGATGTGTTGGCTTCCAGCTCACACAAGGCTGATTCATTCTTCCAGACTTGGAAAAGGGATGAAGGCAAGGAGATCTGTCTAATGATAATTTGAATATCATTTGGCTTTGCCAGTGGTATTGGCTTCTAGATCAAATACTTATTTTTTGAGGCTAAGACACTTCGTTTAACAGTTTGTATTTTTCGTAGAGTAATTAGTGCCAAGGATTGGCAGAAAGGTGCCTTTATGTGTGTTCTTAAATATACAGAATGAAAAAAACCCATGCTGCATTTGTTTAAAATTTTTTTCAGTTTTGCACATATGTAGTGACATAATTTAGGATCTCAAAGCCAAACATAGCTAAAAATTTTATGATTCCCTCAGCTTTGTGGAACTCATTCTTAAGCCTTAAGAGGCTCCATAAGTGTTATTCTTTCATTTATATTTGTATTTTATTTATATATATATATATGTTCATGAGACGTGGAAAATCCGAGAAAGAAAGGAAAAGTTGTTTAGGGATACTCAGCATCCTCTCACCTTCTTTCTTTTTAACCTTAATTTGCTTACAACATTAAGGCTAGCAAAAAAATGCATAGGCCTTTAAAAGAGATGTAACATTCTTCTTCAATATCTAAAACAAGCAAGGGATGATCAGTGGTGGCCTCGGGCAATGCAGTTAAAAAGAGTGGTTATTTCTAGTCTACAGACACACAGCGCAGGCAGTTACACCTTCTCTGTAGAAAAATAAAGCTGAGCATGCAGTCTCTACAGGATCTCTCTAAAGCCCTTCTCAACTAGCTCATAAGACAGGAAAGATCCACATTTGCCCTTTCCAAGCTTTAGCAGATAAAGGATGGGTAACTCTTACTGCACACACAAAACCAGGAGCCTATAATTTCTTCTTTACTGCGAGCAAGACTGTTTATTGTTTTGCACCCAAGTTACAGATTTCTTACTTCACACATTCTGCAAACCCTTCAACTGAAGCAGACAAAGAGGGAAATGTTTATTCCTGCACACATTAGCCCAAAGGGGATAACCAGAAATTACTGAAACTTCTAAAAAACCCCAAACCAAACATGTATCTGCATCTTGAGTAGGAAACTACAGCTACCTTCAAACACAATGTATTCAGAAATGCGTCCGATAAACCACTCTTGCTCCCTTAAATACAGGGTCTGGTAAACAGCAAGACAGACATGGGTAAACTAGATAGACATGGGTAAAGTCAAATATCTGCTTACAAATATTCTTTCTCGCATTCCTACAATTGTTTAAATTGTAGGAATGTAAGTTAAATGTTTTAATTGCAGCACAAGGAAGTGTGTAGAGCATTGACAAAGCATGGCCGGAACCTTAATGTATTTATGAAAGTGTATAAATTAATTAGTGTGCTTCAAACACTTACTACACAGTAATAGTTCTCTGAATTCTCTAACTAAAGGAATACAAAGCAACTGCATTCATAGATGTGTAAGCATCCCTATGTATACCACCCATCAACACAAACACATTTTATATACCAAAGTGCAATGTGACAGTAGAATATGGCCATCTGCTACCAGCTCAAATACCTCTTTGCATTTTTATTAGTACAGAGGTTTCACCTCTTAGACATAGGTCTCTATTGTTTTTCACTCTAATTGGAGGTATATAACCTAAAGCATCATACGAATATTGCATTTAAAAAATCCCAGAACTTTCTGTCCAATTGGCAATAACTCTAAATGAGAACACATGTGCAAGGCATCCAGTAAGAGGTTTGGCTCTGCTGTTGATATTCAGTTTTCCAGAAATGGGAAAAAAAGTCAAGGGTCTGATTACAGGACAAGCTTTATACAAAATGAGTTTAAACAGGATGAGATCACTTCGGCTCTCCCCTTTATTGGCTGGTGGCCTTACTGTCAACAGAGGAGCTGAAAGACACACAACTCACTCAAGCACCAAGAAATCTTACCTCTACCTGCACCTGGACATCATTAGGTTTGTTTTCAGCAAATGAAGATTTTCTGGTCTGTCCTCTCCTGTGACCAAACTTGCATTTGTTCCTCAGGACTTGCTCATCATCTTCAATGGGTCTCCGCACATATTTGAAACGATCTTTAAGTGCCCGTTTCCATAGCAACTGCATTGGGGAAAAATATCTGTAATTACCTAAAGCAAGTCACTTTGTTATATCTAACTCTACAAAAAAGTGTTTGCCATTAAGCAGAAAAAGACTCATAGGGTGGCATCAGCATATTGGTGACTTCAGGACAGAAGGAAACACAAGCACCTGTGGTCTGTGACTCTATGGCAACTAATAGCTGGGCTAATGGCCCTACTGTGACTTGCTATGGATAACAGTTATTGAACCTTAGGGTTTAGATCTCTCCTGTATAACCAGGGCTGTCAGTGAAACTACAGTGTGCTTTCCTGTTCTCAGCTCTTACTCTGGGATGCTCCATTCATGACATCAGGTCATGCAACTACACAGTGAGGCAGATCAGCTCATGGGTGCCAAAGAAATTGTGCTGTGGGTTTTTTGGGTTTGGAGTTTTTGGTGTTTGTTTTTTTTTTTAATTTAGTGCATTATTTTTCCTCTGCCTCTGGCAGCATCTAACTGGTTTCCAGTTGTATAATGATTGTATCTAGTAGAAGGGAGAGGGAAAGACCTTTTTGTGGGAGCCTATGGTTATACCTGATCACCTGTATTTTTAAACTGAACTCAAAAATCGCTGAATTAAGAGGATCAATTAAGTAGGTTCTAGTGTTTGTATAAGTTATGTAAATTGCAAGTTAAAGGCATTTCTGCACTGTAAGCAGATGCCGTCCCTGTTTAATGGAGCCATTCATGACTTCTTGGCAACCAAAGGCAGAGTTTAGGTGGTCCCACAGCTTCTGTCACACTTGTGTCTATCTTTACTCAGGTATTGAAAAGTCACTTCTGAAAACTGGATGGGCAGCGACTTCCTTGTGCATCCCTATGGACTGATGGCTATTTCCATGCAGCCCCCAGCTGGATGGCCCATGGCAGGACACAGACATGCCAACTACTGACACATGGGGAACAAATTACTAAGTAAAGGCTGTTAAACACATCTGCAGGCAAAACCTGCAGTTTTGAATAGTTTTGTCCATCCTCAAAAGCTTATTCCAGTTATTGAGAGGTATTCGACAGTCAGAGGGAACAAAAATTGGTCAGAAAAGTGACTGTAAATGACAGAATGTGGCAAGAGAGATTCAAATAGCTGTGGCTTCATTTCTAAAATTTACTCCAATACTATATTCACATAAGACTATATTCAAGCCTGTACTCACTGACATGCTAAAACGAAATATAAACAGAAGTATGATTATCCTAAATTTCTTACCAAAATCATGTCATTTATTAGTCAAGGTCACATGATTTGAAAGGTTAACTTTGGTGTAAACCTGAATTCAGTAGAGGTAGACCAAGTAGTACCGTATCTTTCTTTGCAGTGAGTCTGACATGCCTGCCCTTTTCACTCACAGGATACAAATGACAGGATCTCTTAAGACGGGGTAGTGAAGGCACTGTGACCTTGCATTTCTCCTGCTGAAATTACTGTTCCCACCTCCCTAGGGTACTAGCTGACTTACAGGACCTCAATCCTAAAAGCAAGGCCTCTATTAATGGTGGAAGAGCTATGAGAATATAATCCCTGTGGTATCTACTTCAGCTGTTCTTGAGCACATCTGGGCCAGCTAGGGCAGGTATGCCCTTCCTAGGGGCACATGCGCCCTTCACTGAAGTATCCTCTCACTGCCAGTCACACTTCAACATCCAAGAACTAGAAAAAAAAACAAACCCATCTGCATTTCTAGTATGTAGACCTCAGACTTAGGATTCTGCCAGGAGTCACATCATGACCAACCCAAACATAAAGATTAGAAATAGAGTACAACTGCTCACCCAGTCTTCTCACAAGGCGTATTCACAGCCTCAATTTCAGTATTACACATCAGCACCATTTTCAAAAGAAGTAGTGTGACTACATGCCTTGAAAATCCCCCCTGTCCACCTGAACCTTTAAGGTTGCTAAATACATTTACAGTTCTGGCCCTATGCATTTTGATGCAAATACCCCATCATTACATGCCTAGCAAAATTTATTTGGAAGTTTGCTATTTTAAAGCTGTTAAGAAAGAAGCAAACAAAAACTTTAGCCTAATGCTTCTCTGAAGTGTTCAACAGATGTTATAATATTTTAAAACATGATCATCACAGAATATATTAGCAGCTGACAATTTAAACATCCCCTTAGTTGAGCTCTGCACAGTTTCTTTCTTTTGAAAGTTTTATTTGGTTAAAAAACATTTATCTTATTATTTCACATGAAAGAATATGTTGACACCTATACAAAGCTTTAAATATCCCTCAAAGTTCAAAACATTCAGCTGTTTCATCTTCCAGTTCCCCAATAAATTAAAAGTTTTAACCAAATCTATTTCTGTAATAGAATTCTTATAAACTTAGCCAAGTCCCTTCTCATGTACCTATTTTGAGACTGCAAGCATATACATTTATGTGGTTTCCCTAGCGGGTAATGCATCTTCTAAAAAGGATGCTTTCCTTACCATTTTCGAATGGATAACTTTTTTCTATTTATTTCCCTGCCTTCACACCCCTCAAAACAACAAAAAAAATCCCAGGAAGGTTTACTATGCTTGTAAGGGAGTAGAAGGATTAGTCTGTGTCTATCTGACATTGGAGGGAAAGGATTACATGCAGATTAAAAGCAGTAATTTCCCAGCAAATAATCATTTTGTGTGCAGCAGTTACATAAATCAGGCATGTCAGCACTGAGATGCTGGTTTTCACCAGCACTCCGGCACTGCTCGGCAGCCACGAGCTCAAGGGAGCCGCTGATGCAAAGCCGACTGGCAAGTGGTGCAAATGAAAGAGCCCTCTCTTTTCCTTTCTCATGTCATGGTTGTCTTGAAACCATATAATTTTCAGCATGCTAAAATTAAATGAGGGAAGTAATTCTCTCCAAATTGTTGGGTTTAAGCCTTGAAAAAGTGACCAATACAGATGGAATACAATACAGATAGAATATCCTGCAAGTTGTCAAGAAACAGTGTCATGCCAATCTTCTTGTGACTGCTGTGCCTATGATGTTGGCTTTTTCTATACAAACTATTCATCTGGAACTTACAAATGCTGCATTGGTTACAATATACATTAGAAATCTAACAAGCTATTTCATGATTAAATTAAGATCTTTAATTTTTAAATGTTCTATGTTAGTTTAGGATTGCATTATTCTGTAAGTGGAAGGAAACATCACGGGAAAAGTTCCTTAGATAATCACTTGAAAACACTTTTTACCAAACACTAGGCTTGGAATTAATTTCATTCCAAGTACTCTATAGACCTCTTAAGTGAGTTTTGTCATTATTATAAAATGATTATTTTTAATATTATTTAGAATTTCAGATAATTCTTCCTTAATTCCTGCTTCTACGGTGACCTCATAAATAACATTCTTTTTAAATTCATGGTACATGAGCAGCTTATTCGTGACTTTATTTGTAAATTAATCAATTTAGGATCACAATCATTGTCCTGACTATATTGCATTGGATAGCCTTCAAAAAAGGGCTGATGGCACAGCAGCATATTTTTTTCCATACTGCAAAATTAAATGGGAAACCTTTTAACCAAGAAAATAGAATTATTGATAATCTACTAATAAATCCTGAAACAACAAACCTTTAATGGCCTCTCAGGGCAACAGTATGAGATTGAAAATATTAGACTATGTTTCTACAGAACACACACATTGTTTAAATTATTTGTTTAAAATAATTTGAAGTTGTAAATAGGAAGCATTCAGTATTTGGGAAAAAAAAACCCAAACAAGCAAACCTCACAAAGAAACTGAAGAAATGGAATGTTCAAAGTTTTGCAAGTAATCTTTTTCCTGTCATGAAAATATTCATGTGAATTTAGGTGCTCTTAGGTTTGTTTTTTTTTGGTTTTGTTCTTCTATGTTTTTCAGCATATCCTTCCCCTTTTTCAGTTGTTCAAGTAATTTCATTTTAACAAAAATGTTGTAAAAAAGTGCTGACATTTAGAGTTCAAAGTTTCTCCATCCATGTACATCAAGAACATCAAGTTCTTTACATATTAATTTTCTGTTCTTGGTCAGAAGATTCTGGAATGTCTAGACCTTTCACGTGATGAGCCTTCCCTTTTCTCATCCAGGAAGCCCAACTGCTTGCCCCTGCCCACCCACACCACGCACACTGGCTAGGGAAGAGCCCAGAACAGTTTGTGCTGCATCCTTCCAGCAGCCAAGACACATCCAATTCTGGTGAAGGGCTCAAAACTGCAAGACTCATAAGTTAAAATTAAAATCACACCACCAACAGACCTTCTCAGGACATCTCCTTAAGAACTACTGCAGCCTTCTGCAGAGCCCAGCAGATGCTGTGGCTGCTCCTCCACCCCAAAGGGTAAGAAAACCTTTTAAGTGAAAATTTAGAGTTAAACTGAATCTAGGAACTGAGACATGGCACAGCAATAAATGGAGAGTAGTAAATTAATGTCATTAACGGTTACAGTGGGATAGAGCATTTTGCATGGCAGAAAGGAAAATACTCAACTGCAGAAATGAGATCCAGCACACCAGAGGGAACGCAAAACTTGGTATGCAGAACTGTGCTGAGCCCTTTTGGTTTTTAAAATGCATGCAACAATTAATTTTTCCTGCAACTTTGTCAAGAAATTAAAAGTCCAAATAACGTAAATAGGCTTGTTGGTATTCTAAATAAACCTGAATAACTTTATTAATCTACCAGTGCTGAAAATCACTGTTTTCAGAGGCTGGCCCAGTTAAATTACCATGTTTGCTGTGTCCCATCCTCCAGCCTTACAACACAATGAAAGGAACGAGTTATCTGTCAGACACAAACAGCTGTGCTCAGCTCGTCACCCAAGGCTCTTTGGAGTCCAGAGAGAAGCAAGAACTTACATAGTGCTATTCCTCTCTTCCCAATGTTAACAACAAAACCATATTACATGAGCTGTATCTCCAGAAGTTTATATGTAAATGTTATTTGATAAGGAATTTAACTAGGATTTTTGCTTAAAATACTGCTCTATGCCAGTTTTCCTTTTCTCCGTTTACCTGTCAGTCCCCAAACAGACTTTTCTGCTTTACCTCTTAATTTTATTGATGACAGATTTCTTAAATACTTTTCTTAAATACTTCCAATGTACTATTTAAAAAATTGTAATAATGACAACAAGTTTAAGGTATACAAAGCCTCTCAGTAATTAATATTTTACATCTTACATTTTAATACTATTATCAGGAACAGCAAGCAGCAATTATAGTCCCTTGCTAGCCACAGGCAATTTTAAAAGAAAAGCCTACAAAAATTTTGCTTTTTTGAGCTGCTGAAGATCCTTTCTGAGAAAAAAAGAAAGAAAGAATGGCAGTTGCCAATTTTTTTTTTGCTGTTCATTTGTTTCTTAAAGGTATACGTATTTAATTTTACTGCAAACCTTGTGGTAAATAGCTGTACATATGTTGCAGGGTTTGTTTTAAGCCACTGCTGTTGTAACACACAACTATCTCAGATCAAGAAAAAATAAGTATTTATAGCCTTTATGATCGTGAAGGAAGAACATAATGTCTAACACTAAGGCCAATAAAAATAGTAATTCATTCTCACGTCCTCCTCCAAACTTAAGTATACAGGCATACACCTTTAGTGCATTTTTTCCTGTCTCAACCCAGGCAGTGGAGAAGGGCTGGCTCGGAAAGTGTTAGACTAGCAATATTGCAAACTGCTAATTCCAACTTCCTTGCTTACTTGCGGTGGTTATTGCCAGACATGCTTTCTAGTAAGCATGAGGGAAAGATCAAAAAATAAAGAACAACTTCTCAGAAGTTTCTGTGCCATCACATAATTTCTGCCAGCACCAATTCTGCGATCAACCTGGAAAGTAATGAACCATTTCCTAAAGAACAGAGTTATAAGTAATTTCACCCAATCTATGGCCCTGCTGCAACTAAAGGCCTCCGAAAACCTAACTTAAGAACTTCTGTTTAAAAACAATTTTTAAAAGTTAAAGGCTCTAAAATGGCTTTTAGACCTGACCTGAATATCATTCCAGCTCCCCCACATAAAGGCAGCCAGATAAGTCACAGCATTACTCAGAACCCCACCCGACGACCAACACTGGGGTATTCAGAGAGGTATCTTGATTAAAAAATGATAGACTGTTGCTATCTGATCCTCTTGCTCTCTCTCTCCTCTTTGACATGTGCTTGCTGTCCTTAGACCCTTCCCTTCTACAGTGCCTGGGCTCAGGGGAGAATTAGAATAGCCACCACTTAAAACTCATCTTTTTTGTTTTGTTTTGTTTTCAAAATTATTTTGCTTTCTACAGTAATGGCACATGAGATATATATTTATACATGTTTAAAGCTAACAGTCCCCATTGAGGCTCACAAGCTTTTACAAGGTATAAAAGCATCACGTGGCAGTGCAACAATGTGAAGTCAAAAGGTGACCACTGTCCTCAGAGACCATAGATAGATAGATAGATAGATAGATAGATAGATAGATAGATAGATAGATAGATGTTCTGGGATTACAACAAGTGTTTTTGGATAATATTTTTTTTAAATTAGGCCTGGACTAACCACTAGTATTAATGAATGCTGTAGTTCGATATCTAACACATAAATGATCATAATGCATTGCAAGAGCATCAGTTAGATGTCAGTCCTCATACAGACAATTTTCTAAAGAGTTTGCTTTTTTGTTTTTAAAAACAAAAATAGGTCACGTTTAGATTTGTCTTTTGGCATAACAAGTCCAGAAAGAAAACATACCCAACAACCAACCAAGGACTTCGTGTACAGGTCTGCATGATCTCACAGCGGCTTTGAGGTATGGCGATAGCTGGACTAATCTTTAATTAATATAATGAAATAAGAATGTGATTTGCCAAAAGCAGCCAAGTGAAGCTTACAGCTCTGAATAAAGCCAGTATATAAGAAATTGATATTGATTTCTTCTGAACTAGGTTATTTTCTTGTGATTGATTATGTGGGGAAAAACCCACAATACTTACAAAGCCATTCCCATCTTCATCAAGGAATGGGTATGCCTGCAGTAGAGCATTGACAACAACGTTATATTGCTGACTGTTTGGATACCTGTGCAAACAAGATGAAGACATAAAAGAAACAGTTGTTATTCTAGATATTATTAAACACTAGAGTTTATACTGATCTACATTACACTGACTATTTCTCAGGCAATCAATTCCTCTTCAAAGAACAAAGGGCACAGTTTTAACGCTTACATGAAATCTTCCTGTTGGCTTCAACAGATTGCAGACCCTTAGCCTCCTCTGTTTAAACAAGTGTATTAAAAAGAACAGCTTTATATCCATTTGAAAATTTACCTCTGCACCCAATAGGTAATGGCCCCAAATAAATCTAATGGTGTTTACTCACAGTGATCCTTCCAGGTATTTTGTCATGTCTGCTTGTAAAAATTCAATAATCCTTATTCTCATACTGTGATCAGGGCATTTTTTTTCTGCTAATATACACTTGACATCATAAGGAAAGTCTGGCAAAGCGTAAGAACTTGTCCACTGCAACATCTTGTGTCTTGCAAAAAATGATTTCAGATTTTTCCTGTAAAAGAAAAGATTATATCATCACAATCACGTCCTTCTTTTATAGAAATGCACGCAGGATGGGAAGAAAAACACATGGAAAAACTCAACACAAGTTGAGGAAAGCTATAGCTATAGAAATTCAAGGCTTGCTGTCCTTGTTTTTTATAAAGAACACCAACAAAAGCAGCAATCAATACACGTAGAGTTAAACTAGAGGTCAAATGTGAAATGTTATAACCAGCAGATGTTAGAAGGTGGTTTCTAAATGAAAGCAGAAGGCAGAGCAGAGGTCTGGGGACTTGTACTGTTGCAAAATAACTTTATCTGTCTTCATTCCTAATGTGTTTCCTACCAGTTCTGCTAACTAAAACTAGAGTAAGACAAACAGCTTAATTGAATAAAATACTGCAGTATAAAATACTGGTATCACTGCAGTTTATGTTTGCTTTAATTTAAATTACAGAGAGCAAACTGAAAACAACTAGCAGACTTTAAAAATAATTTCTAAAATAAAACGCTATCATTATAGATGACATATGTAGATGCTTAAATGGTATAAAAATACAGATACAGATACCTAAATTAATCACTTTCAGTCTCTTTATTTTCACTGAGGAGACATAAACACCACTGATGTATGACAGAACAACCAGAACATCTAAATCAGATTGGATTATCCCCCTCATCTATTTCTTTCCACTAACTATGAAGAAAATTAAGATAGCTACTACAGCTGTTGAGACATATACAGTACAGATTTCAAGTTAAGAATTCCCCACTTGAGGGATGCAGATAAAAGTTCCCCCACAAAGACTTGTGGCTGGATGAGGCATGTTCCTGTGTCCCTCCCAAACTGCACTACATTTTGAGTCTATGAAAGTTACAGAAGGAAATATTGTTAGACTTCAGTCTCTGTGGTAGCCGATAAACAAGAGCTAGGTATATAAACAAGACTTGTGAATAATTCTAGCATGGTCTTAATTGGGAGGTTTTTCTATCCAGTCTTTTTCAGATGTGGATGCAAAAAAATAAATAACTGACTCCATGTGAGCCAATGTCTTTAGGCTGGCAAAATCAAGTGCAATACCAATGGATGAGCATTTGAAATGCCTTAGTTTACACTGCTTTGAAAGACTATTATATACCTGCACGACAGCTCATTTGGGTCCCTGTAGACAGTTACAGCCTCAACACCTTCTTGAATAGATTAGCCTGTAAGTCTCAACCTTGCTGACCTCTTTATGCTGCCACACCATCTTGGCATCTTTTAACATAGCTTGCAGGCTATCAAATGCCACGATATAACTGCACCAACCCCAGCACTACCACAAATGGCAATATAGTGCTGAGAAAAAAAAATGTACCATTTGGGTATCATCTGATCTTAACAGTAGTAGCAGTACTCACAGCACTACCATTTCCCCATAAGTAAAAGAGGGACAAAATGGTAAGGGCTGATGTCTTTCTAAGCTCATCAGATTTCATGGGACACAAATGGTTAACAGTAGATGCAAAGGGCAGTGAACTTCTGTTAGTACTTCACAGTCTCAAAAGAAGGAAAAGTTGTTCAAGAAGTGACAACATATCCACATAGACACATTCATGCCCTTTTTTGGTGACAAATTAATACACACATGGGAAAATAAAACCCAACTCAGATTCTGGAATCACTTGGAAACCCCTCCTATGCAAATAAAGTGCAGATGTTCAATGTATCATTAGTGAGCCACTCTGCAGCCTGTAAGTCTGCATCCTGTATTTTTGCCAATTTTACTGATGAAAGTGACATACCAGACTGGCTATTTTCAACATGCTATCATTTAAACTAGCTCAAAAAATGGACAGAAGTTTAAAACTTACAGTACTTTGTATCTTAGCAGCACTGAAATTCCTTTTGATGGTAACACCAGTGAAGCTGAAAAGCCACTTCAAAAAGTGGCAAGGTTTAATTCAGGCAAATTGAATTATACTCAGTTACTTGAGAAAATAAAATTTTCTTGCAGTTGGGATGGCTAATAGCCAGGGAGGCATGGTAAGTCTCCCCTCCACCAGTCCTTTCACCTTTGCCACAACAACAGAAATACTCCAAATTTCATTTATCTTCAGCCTCACTGAACACAAAATATATCCTTGTTCAAGATTAAATATTTTACTAGCTCTTGCTGGACTCATCACTGTTGGGCAGTCATATTAAACATGTACAGTAATATTTTACAGTGAAATACAAGCTTGTTTGAAACGAGACACAATTCCACAATAAACTTTATCCTCAGAAATGCTCACATGCAAACTTGTTTAATTAAAAGAACAGTTCAGTTCAGCTGTAAAGCTGTTCTCCCCAGTCAAGTAAGGCCTTGGCTATATGCATAAATCCCAGTGCAATGTACAGTTTGAGATGTAGGTACAAACACATATAGCCCTTTTCTAGCCATCCCTCTCTGGTCTTCTAGCTAACCTGAGACAGAAATTAGATCAAAATCTCAAAACGCAAGCTACTACATCTTTTCTTGTCTGTCAGTTCTTGAGACTTTTGATTCTACAGCTAAATCAGTCCAATGGCTAGCTCTGGCAAAAGTTCAGTCCCTCTCTTTCTCCACTGTCACATGTCTGACTTACTTACATCCCTTTCTTACTGATACTGGGAAACCTCTAATCCTGCAGCAAGTTACAAGGAGCTACAGTGACAAAATTTTTCATTTTGGTTTAGTTTTTTTACAGTTTAGGTCCCCAGAATGGCTTCCTATGAGGTGAGAAAAGTACCAGTTCGGATGAAGCAAGCTGGTCTCTTTATGCTTGGTTGCAATATGGGCCTGCATCCTAAGAAGGATCTCCTCAGCAAGGAAACAACTAGTCACAGAGCTTTTGACCACTCAGCTTTTGTAGACGACCACTTTACTGTACTAAGTCACAGTCCTGTATTACACAGCTATTTCTTTCTTTGGCTCCATTGTAACCTTACACTGCTCATGCACAGCATATTTACTGAGACATGAAGTTATAAAATAGCATCATCTGGGGAGAAGCCATTTGTCTTCAGATGGGAAAAAAAACCCACAGCAAACCAACCAACTAAAGAAAAAAAGCAATCACCAAAAAAACCCAACTAACAACCCCCAAATCCCCATCTATTTGAATTATATAACCCCTTGCATTCCAAATACCAGGGAATACCTTGTTTAGTGCAAAAAAGGCAGTTACCCACTTGCAGTGTCACTCAGACCTTTTGGTGAAGGTTTTAGACTTCACTGAAAAGCGGTGACTAAACACAGCATCATGGTCTCAAAGTTCATTGTCCTGTGCAACATTCCACAGAGCTACCTGAATTAGCTCTAACAAGTCAGAAAAAATAATCTTGGCATCAATATAGACAGCTCAATCAAGACAGCCATGCAAAGTGGTGTAGAGACCTCAAAACAAGATCAAATACTAGATCATGATAAGACTTTGTTATTTTTAAGCTTCTTGAGCATACCGGTAAGAAGGATCAGTTTCCTGCATCTATTTGGTTTATTTAGGAAAAAAATGTGATTTAAAGGTCAAGTGAGCAGATAAACAGACTGTGTGCCACAAGCTTTTCTTGTTGTCTGCTAAAGTCCATGAGTCTACAGCACCCATTGCTGTATCAGCTGAGATCCCAGTTAGTCAGAGTGCATGGCAGTTGAGCAGAAATTTGCTGTCATCAGTGGGTTCACATTTTCAGTACATTCACATAAAATTCAGCACATGGGTGGGGTCTCAATAGATTTCCATCTTTCACAGAGAAAGGTCTAATCTTTCACGTGTCTACATCACACATCAGCAAGACTGCAATCTGAAGATTTGTAAGCTGGAAAAAAATCCGTGTCTACAAAGTCAGAGAAGAAACAGAGGAGAAAACATGGAAGTGGCAGATGTTAAGGAAAGTCTGCAGCTGTAGAAAATATTCCATTTCCTAACACATGTATAATATGCTTTCAACTTTATGACAACATTTAAGATTGTAAAGGCTATTTCTATCAAAAGGAAGAAATTATGACAGAAGATGAAATATCAAAAGAAATTTTTTTCTCTTTCAATAGTTGATAAAAAAGGGCTCTCCTTTTCTATTCACAGTTATGAGATCTGTGCCTGAAAGATCCTCATGCCATTATCCTCAGGTGCTTCACTGTTATTTCCAACTTTTGAACACAATGAAGAGTTTCACAGTTATTTCCTAAAGCCTGGGATTTGCAGTCTGCCTAGTGCTTGATGATCACTTTTTTTTTTTCACTTCCCACTATACATAAGGGCAAGCATCCTTTAGACTGAACACGAAGTTACCTGCAGCAGTGTTAACTTCAGCAAGGCTAGGATGTGGGAGCCAACAGACACCAAAGCTGCCCATTTCCCAGAGCAGCTCCCACTTCAGCTTTTCCTGCAGTATCCTTGCTACAGAAATCATCACATTCAGTATGAGAACAAAGTTACAGACAAAATTAATCCACTTCCAAATAAGTTTGAGAGATGCAGACATAACCTTCTTCTAGAAGGAGTCCAGGGTTTTTGACAGTTCCCATTCTGAGCAGCTGCATAACATAAGGAAAAGCTCTGCACTTCTACCTTATGCGAGGGCAGCAGCTGTGGGTTACAGACAGGGGAAGTAAAAATGCTCCTTGGGGAATCTGACTGACAGAATTGCCAGCTAAGTCGGGCCATTTAAAAAAACCCCTGAGTTTATTCATGTTCACCTGTGTAAGATGTGCTATACTTCATCCAAAGAATTTTATGGATTTGAGGGTTTGTTGTTGTTGTTGCTTTATGACTTTGCTAGACCTTAACAAGGCAATGTAGTTTGTGTCACTCTCATTTGAAAGACTTGGTTCATTTCTGGTTTGGAATAAAGGAGATTTAGCAATTTTTTTTTTTCCCTGCAAACTTCTGTGGAAGACTCACAGCACCACGTCAATAAATTCAGCTCTGCTGACCTGAAGTGCTCCAAAACCATGAGTCCAGGACTTCCAAAACACTGAGGCAACAAGCACAGAGAATTTATTATTATGACTCTTCTAGGTTTTTTAAATTTTAATTTAGTATTCTTAAGCATCTAGCTGCAATGACAGAGACATGAAATTCTGACATAAAGAAAAAGTGGCACAAATTCTTGCATCCACATAAATTGAAAATGTAAAATAAAAGAATCTCCCCCAAACCCTACACAAATCAAATCCACAGACAGAACAGCTTTGCTGAAGATGTAATAACAATTGAATTGAAATTATCAGAAATCATTAAATGAAATTATTTTTCTGTTATTATATGGCATTCACCAGGAGAATCTACTATTGAAACAATAAATAGCTTCGGAAGTACTGAGACAAATTCATAGCAGAAAGATTCAACCAATCAATCACTGTTAAAATTAATGGGCTAGATGCAATTTATGATTTTGGAATACCCAAAGGACTAATCAAGTGAAACATCTGATGTCTGAAAATAGACAGGCAGTACTTCTTTTCTTCTATTATTGACCATTATCAATGACTTAACATGTTGGGGTTTTTTTTATGTCTGCTTCTCATGTCCTTATGAGCTAACTGAAAAAACGATCATCACTTTTTTTACTAGACATCACATTATTTACTAGAAATAATTTTGATGATAGACAGAATGAGGTCTTTTCATAGAAACCAGGAAACTCTTAAGCTATACATAAAAAAGCACAGTCCTGCTGAGATTTCATTGTAGGACTACAGTGTGTATATGTATGCATATAAAAGTAATATTTGTTCTCTTGTATAAATGGAACAAAATCATCCAAAGTAGTTGACTAAGTGACAATTTTTCAGGCTAGCTGCTCTTTCTCTCTTTTCCTTTTAAAATTTTCTTTTCTTCTTAAAGCACAAGCATAAGTGTGTTTCTGATAAAACACATCAAACAGACCAACAATACTTATGTATGGGTAATGGGGAAGCAAAGGAAGGAGCTCTATAAAGATCATTAGCAGAATGACATATCAAAACTAAAAGACAATTCAGATGCAGCTACCCAGCAGTCAGCACAGTTGCCTGTAGCCTGACTGAAACAGATGAGAGGCTGCCCTAGTTAGTACAATTCCTCCACTGAGACAATGAATGACCCTTGCAGGGTCATCTTGAAGATGGATGCCAAATTTGTTTTCAGATGAATCTTCCAATTCATTGTCCTTGCTACCAGCTCAAATGTATGTAGGCACCAGCACCAATATTCTGTCACTGCTGGCAAGAGCTTTATTGGCGTATGAGCACTTAGCAGGCCCAGGTTCAGTTGAGCACTGACCACATCTTCCAAATTCACAGCAAATAGAAAAGTTCAAAGCTGTTAAGGCTGGTTGGAAGATCCATTATCCTGCTTGTGCTCTGAGAAAATTACTCCAAGGCGTTCAGACAGTAAATATGTTACACAGCAATCAAGAGTTACAGAACATGTTTTTACAGAAGAAATAAATGTACAAATAAACATGTACCAGGACACCCCTCTTGAAGGAAAACAGCTGGGCCATCGTATTGGAAACAGTAAAAAAGAGATACATTAGGGATGTCATTTGCTAAGCAAACGTTGAGGAAAGGCAGACAGAACATATAAACCAACCAATAAAAGGTTGCTTTTTCACAGCAGTATCAGGTATTTACAAGTAGTGCAAGGCTCTGTCTTAGCAACAAGATAAACACCAGGCTTCCAGGAGCCATAAAACTGCTAGTACTCCAATACAGAAAAGCAGGAATATGGGAAATGTATTTATTGAATTGTCCTCTGTAGCTATCTTATTGTCTTTACAGACAAGCGCTGTTTCAAGATTAATCTTCTTGGTAGGTTATCAAAAAAACTGACTGTTTTTACTTCTGTCATTTCTAGCAAGAAGTTATTTCACTGGAGTAGCTTGCAAAACCTCATTTCATTATATGTATGCACAATTGCAATACAAGACAAATAAAATTATACAACTGCTTCAACCACTTACTCTTTATGTTTAAACAATCTTGTTTGATATCTTGGTAAGATTTATTAATATAGAAGAGTGTATTTAACACAATTGTTAGGACTATGTTAGGAAACATAGAGAAAACTTTGAGCCAATTCACAGCATTAATAATCTATAAAAGCACCCATGAATTCACTTCAAGCAAAACCATGCAGTTATTGAAGCTGTAGTTCCATGGATCTTTTGGGAAAACAGAAACAAAAACAAACCACAAATTTTAAGTTCTTCTTTTTCAGATTGAACGAAATTAGTGAGGAGACACAGGCTATAAGCATAATCCTGGCCAAAAATCAATACTTTAAACTGTACATTGAAACCAATCCCATCACATTAAACTAACCCCCTGGCTGAAACGGACTCTAGAAGTGCTAATATTAACTGCTCTACAGTGGGTGATGTGGGAACACCCACTAAGTAAAAGTGGATGTCATCCTTGTTCTTAGCTGCTCTTCCAAATCCGGCCTAGCTGATGAGAAATGGGTCCTGTCCCTACCCTCCCTACTCAGAATAGGACAGTCCAGAGTGTTTTATTTGCAGAACAACCTCCATATATTACTACAGCCTTCCTTTCCCTGTTAGTTAAGACAAGAGACTATGGGAAAGAAACAAATGCACAGACTTAAAAGGAGCAGAAACACCACACCAGTTGATCTATCAGAAATATTTACTGACATTATGCCAAAATACAAAAAATAGCCAGCATTAATTAAAGTGATGCGAAAAACCCTTTTTCACCAGGGCACCTAAATCCATAGACTGGAACTTTAGTGAAAAACAAACAAACCAACCAGCTCACCCAGCTTTCAAACTAAGTTTATTAGTAGGGGGGTTACTTTTATGCTCTTGGCTAAGAATCTGTCATTATATTATAGTCAAAGAAACTTTTTCTGTTCTTGTAACAGCTTTTCTAAAACAAACATCTTGTTCAACCCTTCACAACCCGCTTATAGCTTGCATAATCCCCTCAAGCATATGAAACATTAAAATTTTCCATCGGTTGTTGAAAATGCACTGAGTGAATACTGCAGGGAAAGGAAAAGAAAAGGAACAACAACAACAACAAAAAAGCAAACCTAAATTCTATCATAAGACATTTATCAACGTAAGTCAAGTCACAGACACATCTAAACAGCATCACCTCTAAAAATTGTATTTAGCTTTGGAGGAACCTAGTACAGCAGTTAGTGTATGCAATGGCTGTTCAACTCCATCCTCAGTCTTAGTTAGAACAGCTGTTTCTGTGAAAGATGTTTGCCAGATTTTCATTTGACCTTTAGACAGAGCCCTCATCAAATTTACTCAGGTCTACAAATCATCACAGCTCCACTGACTTCTACGACATCTCCTACTTCACTGAGAAGGGGCATCTCATTTACAGCAGCAGACTTCCTCCCTCTTCTTCTCTGCCCCGAGCCGAAGTGGCACGGCTCTTTAGCAGTCCCTTCCCCTCAATAGACCATTATGGGCCTTTGAATGCTTTGTAATGACAATATTTGCTCAGAACATTTCCTAAAGTCAGTCTATTCCTGTTCCTGGTTACACTGATTCACACAACCCATTTAAAAGTCTTTATACACCACAAGGCAAATTAGTCATAACTAATTAAAAATAAGCATCCTTTGGAAGCACAGGCTAAAACCCTTCATTGCAAGATCATAGTAGTAGTTTACTCTGAGGGTTTAAGTGATATGGCTTTGTTTCTTCCATAACAATGCTGACAGGATCTTTGGGTTTGGAGTTTTTGGTTTGTTCTTTTAAAGAACAGAAGTAGCAGGACTTTATTTTAAAAGCATTAACTATGTGATTCACTAAACTCTTCCTCTGTTCCCAGTCAGTCTTATCACTAACTCCTTGTTATTTTTTTTTAAGTGATAAAATAGACATTTTTGCAGGAACATGTCCCCTTGTCTCAGAATTGTGAGGCCATCCGTCACATCTATGGCAGGGGTGGAAAGAAAGGGGGACAACAATAAGCAGACTAAGTTTTGCAAACAAGAAAATAATTGCCTTGTAAGAGGAATAGGACTCTCTTCCAACACTAACTGCCCATCTCAAAGGAGAAAAGCATGCGTAGGAGGGAAAAAAAAAAAAAACCAGAAAGAAAAAACCCTACACCTTGTCTCGCCTCCAGTTTCGAAGGGAGGATCATTTGGATACCTAAGGAAAATGAGCATGCAAATGGAATCAGCATGCCTACCTTCACAAATGCTATATTTAAGATGCCTCAAGCACACAATTTTTTTAATAGCCATACTCCAGTTGTAATGACTAATTTGTCAGATTGCTGTTGAAAACACATCTGGAAAAGGTGATTTTTAAAAATTAGATAATAAAGACAAACCTGTATCTTGCCCTCTGCATGAGGTAACATGAGACAGTGAGCAAGGATGGAGGATGGAGGGCAGAAAACATACCATCAGGCTATTTCATTCAGCCAAATCCTAATAAATTTCTGTTACTGCTGTTTTCTAAATACAGCTGGATATAGCTGAACCTGGCCTCCAATAATTAAGATCACTTTTTGTCAAGTATAAATGAAGCAAAAAGAAGTGTTTACATCATTTTCAAAAGGTAAGGAAAATTTAATGAATATATTATAAACTCACTTCTGCTTCAGCACTCTGTGATCAATTAGTCCTTTTTCATTTTCACTTGAGCACAGATATTTTTTCTGCTCCACAGGACCAGAAGAATTTAACATCTGTCTGTCAGTAGCCCTGAAAGAAAAAAACCAAACAAACAAAATTACTGTCAGGTCTTGCGCAGCTTACAGAAAAGAGGATCTTTAGGGTTCTAAAGTACCAGTGGCACAAACAGAAAGGGAGAAAAATGAACATATTGAATAGTCATGATTTTACATGATGCTAATGTCTCTTAATCAATCTCCCAGTTCAATTATCAAATTCTGACAAATTAAAAGAAAAAATACATATAGTACTGCCTAGTGATATTCTAATTATTACACAGTTACGAAACTCAAGAAAATCAACCTTCTCAGAGTTGCAGGATAACCGCCATCCTCATACCTGGCATCTCCGAATCTCTGGGAATAACTAACCATTACAACTTGCAAGTGAGGGCTGAAACAAATATTCACACAATATTGCAAGGCAGTTTCTATTTAACCAAAACCTTGAAAAGTTTTTTTCTAGAGGTTAAGTCTAAAGCTTCAAGTTGGCTTTGCATTACTCCAGCCACTCTAGAAGATCTCTGAATGCCAGCTGGTCTCACAGGCCACTGTTCTTCGTTATTTGCTTTAACTCTAGCTCGTCACTAACACTAAAAACTCCAGATACACACTTTGCTATGTGCCAGACCAAACTATTGCTTTCCACTTAACATTTGTGTCCACTTCTCTTCCTCCTCATATTCCTTGTTTTGTGGATAGAAGCCAACATCAACAGTTTTACCCTGTACTGGGGAATAGGCAGAGCTTAGATAGGGGATACTGTTATTCTGCCAAGAATTCATGGCAGTCATTAACTACTTATTTATTTTTTCAGAACATCCAAACTCTAAAGATGCTTTAGCAACTGTTCCAGCCTCAACTGCACTCAACACATGAAAGGCTGTTATTGGAAATGACATTAGTTTGCCAAATTTTAAGGGCAGTTTTTCCTTTCCATGAATCAATATTTTTCAGCTATGCAATTAAAGCAAACAAACAAAAAAAAACCCTGTTGTGTTTTCTGTGTGGCTCCTAGAAACATCTGATTGTGAAGCTGAAAAGAGTCTTAATATTCAATTTGTGAAATTTACTTTTTGAGCTTCTTACACACACATAAGTAACAGTTTCTACTCCATGATTGAGAACATTTCCACCTTACCACTGACAGACACAAGATGCTATTTCCATGTCCCAATCCAAACTGCTGGAGATTTAAGTCACGTTCAGTGACCTTTCACAAATTTATTACTTCCACACAGAACATGGTCACCTATCATACTCAAAACTCCATGTCCAACCAACGACTTCATTTCTGTTTCTAGCAGAGAGGTGAATTCAGCACAATTCACACATAGGACACCAGCATAAAGAGGCAGCAGCCAGGAGTGCATCAACAAGCACTGGGGATAGCATGCACCTGAGAAATACAACAGGGTATACAACAGGGAAACACTACTGAGAGCTCTTGGAAGCTCCACGGTGACTTCAGCTGACCCAGAAGGACACTGTGATGATGCTGCTTTCTCCCCTGCCCTGAGCAATGCCTTCTCAGCCCTGTCACTGGTCCTAGCAGGGTGAGCTGGTTCTGGGAACTTGCCTGACTGAGAAATAATTCTGCAAAACAGAAAAGGTGATTGGTTTTCACCTGGGCTCAAGCATCACAGGAGAAGGGCTAGGAACACAACAAACTCAGTTTTCACCATTGTCTCCCAGCCACTGTGGGACCACACATTCAGCTATGGGTGCTACTAACTGCAATCACTGGCATGGTGACTTTACTCAGTGCAATTCAGTATAACATTACTAAGTGATGGAGTAAATGTGAATTCACATATATTGTGGAACTATGAATTTTGAATTTGTTCAAAACAGTGTCTCATGCAGTTTAGTCTGGAGTCCTTGACTTAGATAAAAAGCAATTATTCCTACAGGACTTTGTTTGAAATTTACCGAGTAGACAAAATGATTTTAAACTACATCAGTAAGACAAGTACTGTAGAGGTAAGAAAAGAGAGTTGCAGCTACCTGCTTATGAGGATACATCTTTTAGTTTTATGACAAAATACTACTTTTACTATAGGAGCTTTTTCATCATTTTATATCCCAAACTGGACAGAATATATTGACTTTTTACTCATCCTAAAATATATGACTGAATGTATCTTGAACATGCTTGGGCTTTAGTCTGTCATTCTTGGTGACACAGAAAATGTTTCAGAAACAGCAGCTTATTTACTCAAGTTCCCTGTAAATAGAAGGATGCCAGCATCTTATTTTCCAGGAAGGAGATTAGGTAGGGAAAGATTTTAATGTAAATTATATTTACTAACATTTGATATTCTAAGCGTTTAAATTTTTGGGAATCTACAGAACAGCACAGCAAAGCTGTGCCCTCATACTACTGTAACTGCATGCTCTTTGTGAGACAGCAAGGCCTTACCTGCAGGAGTGGAGAAGAACATGAGAAACAGTCACATCTGAGATGCAGCGTAACCAAACATCTCTGACAAAGTCAAGGATGAAAGCTAAATATCCAAAGCAGCATTCAAACTGTCCTAAGCATATGGACAAGTTTTCTTCTGAATGACCCTGCTGAAGTCATCTTGTACCTACCATACTTTGGATGCAGTACAGAACCTAAACGCAGTAGTCTACTTCACAGCAGACACCTACTCTACCTCCAAAGAAGGAGCTTCTTATAAATCAAGTGAGGTACGACCCTGGTGCAGAGAACCAGGACTGGCTGTGATTGCATACTTCAGGCCTATGATAAATTGTATATGTGGTGACACTGTCACCTTTCTGCAAACCCCTTCCCTCCATTGGTGCAGAACTGTTTACCCAAGGAGTTTCGTAAATACTTCCACAAGGTAAAGTGGATGTATCTACATCTATTTGTACTACACTACTAACTATACTAAACTACAGCTTAGTATTGCTCATGAGTGCAAGTTGTTTGGAAATAAGCCAGTCATTACTGTTTATCATGCTTTAGTTTGCACTATGGAATCACCTCAGAGTGCACAACCTGGACTCCTTCCAGATGAAGGCAAAGGCTATAGAGAATGCTCTACAGTTCTAATCCTAATAGGCTGCTACTGTGACTACTTCAGTCTTATTGCTAGAGTCCTTTCCTTTGCAAAAGAGCATTCTGCATCCATGGCAAACCATTCTCTACTTGGGTTTAGAAGGGACCACTCAGAGATCGGGATACCTATCCTCACCCAAGATATTGAGAAAAAAGTAATCGTGCAAGACTTACAACAGATCAAAACAGAGGGAAGCAATGGGGGAACTAAACCAACCAACTCCCTCATCCAACACCCCTCAACTAAAAACCACAAAGTCTGCCCCTTTCCCCAACCCTCAAAAACCCCAAGCAAACAAAGAAAACCTGCTCAAGAGCCAAGAGCCAGAGTACAATCACTGAAGGCAATCTTCCTGGAATCTTTTTTCTAAAAATCTATCTAGTTTCACACAGTGGGATTATTAAATGCTTATATCTAGATCAAATTCAGAGTTTCCTTTGAGAAACTGAATTTCAATACACCTGTGGCACAAATACTATCTCGGGCTAAATCATTATTTTACTCCAAGACTTGCAAGCATTTAAAAGTAAGTTCTTCAAAAGCTTAATATTGTAAATAGTGAAAATTTTAGCAATAGTGAAAGTTTGATAGTGCTTCGTCCAAATGAAAACTAGGTCCTAGAACCGGGTATGAAGAAAAGTTTAAGTTAATTAATGGTGTTGTTCTGGAATGTTGATGCCCTGTTTAAAACCACAAGGTAGTACTCTAATTTTGCATTTCACATATTGTTACAGATACTTAAAATTTTAAAAAGTCACAGCTGAAGAGCTAGTAAATGCCAGTTTTAAAATGCCATGAAAAGAACACAGCTATACCCAGACTGATATCTTCTGTGCCATGTACAAACTCACCCACTGGTTACTTCTGCAAATTTTTGAGAAGCTGTTTCACAACAGCCTGAAAGGGAATCCAGCCCACTTTTTTGTTGATGGTATTTTTTAATCAGGTCCATCAGCACTGCCTGGTGCCCAATCTTTTTCACCAGCTGTTGCACCATACGATCATTAAGTGCCAGAAGAGCTGCACCACTTACTTCTTCTTCTGCAGATTGAAGGGGATAAAAGAAATACTGTAAAATAACTTTGCAGTTACAGTTACATTCTATATGCCTAAAAACATGATGGAAGACAGGTCAAAGGTAAAGATGCTTTCTACTGCCAGCAGTCATTTTCAACTGCTGCTGTCTTTCTTAAGCAGTGCCAGGAATCACTGGTCAGACACCTTCCCCTAACAGAAAGCCAACTCTGAAATATACAGAGAGGTGACTATTTTAATGCTTTAAATCAGGCCTTGCTTAAACCACAGGAGACGGTCACTTATTAATGAAGGAAGGCAAGGTTTTTAAGAGAACACACAACAAATAGGCTGTTCACATAACAGTTTCCTGTGTACTCTTTTGTAGAGTGTTTATATACTCAGACATAAAATGTTTACACACTACAGTTGCATTATTTCAAAGGATTTATACAACATAAAATAGGCCCTGTCAAGACTTTTAAACTGCCAGTTCTGATTTGAAGTGTCTCTATTTATATACAGGCTTAACTCATCCCCCAGCATTTCTCTGAGACTTCATAATAAATCTGTACACTTATGTTAATTTATCAGATCTATGTCAGTTCTCACCCTAATAAATTTTTATAAAAGTATGATGTTAGCATATACACACATGCCCCAAAACAAGGTAGGCAGTGCCAATTAAAGGCATAGCAAAAATAACTAAACAAGCCCCCCCCTCCAAACAACAAAAATGCTTACCACGGAACTTAGGAATCAGTTCTCCTAAATTTCTCTGTTTCAACCAGTTGCAGACTTGCTCAACCGACCAATTTTCCATCTTCAGCTGTTGCAATGCTAAATTTCCCTGTGAAATTAAAAGAGAAGATTATTTTTATGCTGAACTCTAAATTGAACTCCAACGTTTCATAGGAAAGAAATGAACTTAGGAAATAAAGATACATCTACATGTTCTGAATGAAAATAGTGCAAAATAATCCAGCTAATGCCTGTTATAAGTGGCAGTTTCCTTGGATCCCCTTCCTCACCTCCTCTCCCTTCCCTGCTTTTCCTCTGCTCTGAGACAGCCTCATTCCTTATAAAACACGACCTGCTCCAGTACCATTAACACCCAGATTTCCTCACTGAGAAGAAAAAAGGTGTGAAATTCACCACCACCATCAGGCTCATCAGGAAATGGCTGACATTTTACAGAAGGAAAAAGCAAACCACCCCACCATCAGATAAGAGTCTGTCACATATACGTTCATAGTCAATCAAGCACCTTAACCCTCTCTGCACCACCACCCAGGGCAGGTACCCAGCAAATACTTAACCCTCAATTACCAACAGTTAGGGACAATAAAGATGGAGGGGAGGGGACTGCTTCTACTCCTGTTTGCTAGTTCTGTTCCTCAGCCTGCAGTGCTACCTGGGAAGATGCAGCGGGCACCTTTTGAAGGTAGAGCGTGGGCAGGGAGTCTGTGGGAGAGCCGGGGTACGTACACCGACCCTCCGGGTGAATCCGTCCTGCACATGCTACGTGCCCCCTGTCCGAAGGACTGACTTGAATAACGAGAGGGGTGCATCGCATACCAAAAACAACAGCAAACTCCCCAGAGGAAGATTGCTGATAAAGACAGCTTGGTCCACGCTGCAAACTTCTAGGCAGCAGCAAACTCCTCAGCAGCAGCAAACTCTCTCCGAGGAGGATTTTCTTACTAATATGTTTTAGCTCTACTACATAAAGAAGCACCAAGTGCTTTACAACCATGCTTGCAATCCATAGCAAACAACACTACAGGACATTATTCGAGTCAGTTTTTCAGATGAGAATACATGTGTCTGGCATCGTTGGTCAAACACTTCCTTAACTCTAGGCTTTCACCCACACATAAACCTCATTAGCTTCTGAACTCAAAAAAAAAAAAAAAAAAAAGAGAGAGAGAAGAAAAATCCTTGAATAAATGCATTTCCATTTTCTTTCTTCAGCAGCAGAGACTCTCCGAAAGACCTATACTTCATGCTTATGTTCTTATGGTCTTTTAAGTTCAGCAACTTAAAAGGGTTAAGTTTAAGAGGAATGCCTTTCTGCATTACATGAGTGGATTTAATTTGATATGACAACAGTAGCCATACAACTCCTCCCCCAGGCTAAGCAGCAAGAACAGGGTGTGAAAAGTCATTATTTGTTGAGAACTCTGCTGTAAATTAAAAATCACACCTTTCTGTCACACTTCTTACTTCCTTGCAAAGAGTAGGGCAGAAAAAAAAGTCTCCAAAAACTTGAAAGATAAAACCAGATGCAAAGCAGAAAGATACTTCCCTTATCTAACAAGCAGTGTAAAAGGAGAGAGATACATTAAAATGTTGGAAAGGTCACTTATTCGTTGCATAAAAAGACTAACATCCTAGAGCAATTCTAAAGCATACAGGCAGATACCAAGACTTGAAAAAGTGTGAAGTGAACTATAGCCATGCACAGCAATATGCACATGTAGCTCTGGGTGGCTAATTCTACAGCAAAATGGCCCCTTGCACTTGGAAATGCAGGCTGCACACTATTGAGGGAAGTGATTAGACTTCAGAGTTTGGTTTTGTTTTGTTTTAAATCCGATTATGTGCATTAAGGGTCAAGAAACAAATACTTTGAAATGCTTCTCAAAAGTGATTTCACTTACTTGCATATGCTATAGATAACGGAGTCAGGAAAAGAGCACACCAATCTTCTAGCAGCATTTTGGAGACAGCAAGAAAGACTGAGCACAGATGCTGATTTTTTTTCATTAATGATCTTATTTATTACATTAGTATCAAAATACTGTCCAGTGAAGGGTTGCCTATGCTCAGTGTGGTGAAATTTGTGAATATTTATATTCTTCAATCAACTCTTAAAATAAGTCAGAACAACAACAAAAAAACCAAGAGCAGCAACATTTTAAAGAGAACGACTTACAGCATAACTTATTCAGAGCAGTTCTAAGTGTGAGTGATCTCTGCTTGTTAATAAATACAGCCAATCACTGAGACCCGTTTCTTCATACACCTAGGATGAATATCTATCATTAGGACTTAACGAGCCCTGGTTAACGAAACTGAGTAATGAAGTCAGTGAAAATTTAATTTCCCTAGGATGTGACAGGACAACACTTCTATTTCCTGTAAAATCCTTGAAGACCAAAGGATAAAAATCTTGGGGTTTAATCATATCAAACTGAAGACCTAGCTATGGTACAGATTTCTGCAGATAGCAAGAGATGGGGTTCCTGACCAGCACGCTTGTGCTGGCACATCCATACTGCACGTGCACTAATTTAACCCACAGCTTGCTTTACAAGAAAATATAGTAAGGACCCATAGTCTTGAATTCTAAATTAATCTGTTTATAATCTTCTAATTTAATAAACCTATACATCAAAACATATTAGACATGAAGAGTGAATTATTGTATTTACTTCACATGTTGACTCCCGAGAGGGCCTATGGCATCACAGACTACAAATAGCACAACCTTAGACAGGTCTCTATGTGGATGTCACGAAGGTCAGAATTATGGTTAATTTTTGTACATTTTAGTACAAGATTAAGGAATGTGATACGTGCACATCTATATATCACAGCTGTGTGGCACATTTTGCACGGCGCCAGGTCTCAAAGTTCCGTGATGAGTAGGAATCAGTGCATACCAAAGATATAAGCAAAGTATCCCATATGCATCTTTTTATGCTCCGCATCTTTGTATGCGCTGCGGAGACTTTATTATTTTCTCTCCACTTACCACCAAACTATTTTTAAAACAATTAAAAATATGTTCAAGCAACTTTATTGCAGCCAGAATATGTCATCTTGGATCCAATGCTGAGTTATCATGAAAACAACGTCAGCTGTCCACAAACCTTTTCAATAACATATAGGGAAGAAGTCCAAGACAGCACTTCTATCAACCTCCCCATCCCCTGAAGAAAATGCCAACAAATTATTGCTGGCATTTGTCAGGCACATGCTAGCATGAACGACTGCACTGAATGCTCAAAGAGATGCCTGGAAGAAAGGGAAAAATATTCCAATACCAAAGCAGGAGCAAATCTTAAAGTCAACATATCAGTTCTCATTTCTATGCTATTGTAGAGTAAGACACATGCAGCTGCAAGATCAGGAGCCATGTAAATGTACAGCAGATGCAACAGAAAACCTATATTGCCTAGAAGTAAGGCAATAAGAAGATCTAGGAAAGAAACCTGCACAACCATTAGTCAGCTGTAAATAAAGGGTAGCAAGCCAGACAAACCTTCTAAAGTTTGATCAAGATTAAGGGAAGTTTCAAGGGTTCTGAACGTGCCCATTTATTGAGCTTTTCAAGCAGACCAACTCCTCTGCTGCAGGAATTAACTCTGAAGAATATTATAAAAAATCAATTCTTTCTTTAATACATGTACTTCTGATTAAATTTCTAATATTTAAGTTTTTACTGTATGAACTTCAAATATTTTCATCTGTACTGGAAAAATGAGCTGTTCTGCTTCAACAGCAAGATTCAACACAAGTACCAACTTCTCTCTGTTAGAGATGTGCAAGTTATTTGGCAATTTGAAAGGAAGAAAAGAAAGTTAATTTGACTGTGTTTTAAGGTGATTTAATAGTAACACAGGTGAGACTCCATTCTTGCTATCCCTGGCAACAGTGCACAAGCCATGAAATAATACACTTAGCTGTAGAAGAAATTGTCTTTTTTTTTCTAAGAAAACCTTCTGGAAATTAATCCCTCTAAAATCAAATCCTTTTATATTATCTTTAAGAAAATGGTATCAAATGAAAAACACAATGTTACTGGATAGCGAAAACAGGAAAAGAATTAAGTAAAGATTAAAAATTCATGAATCACAAAAATGAAATCTCATATAGCACAAAGAAAGCAATCAGACTGAGGATGTTCAGTACAACACAGGGACTGCTTCAGAAGACTATAAAAAAAGTCATTTTGTCTTGTAAGTGATACCACACTGACTTTTCTCCTCAAAGTACAAATTTCTCACCAGGACTATTGGTACTGCTGATCATGTCACTGCTGGTTTAGAAGAGGGCTCTAGGTCCTGTCACTGGGCAGTGCAGAGACCTCACACACCGTAGCCCTGCAGTGCAATTCCACAGTAGCCTAAGTCACAGCACTCATAATCCAGCCCTCTTCTTTGCAGCCATCCATGTGATCATGCAACCAATGGTGCAGGCTAAGCTGAAAACATCGATTTTTCGTATGGTGGACTTCGGATGGATCAGTGCCTTTAACCAACTCCCTGATCAATTGGGTGAAAATAGATCATGGAATCATATCTCTAGATTAATCAAAGTGTAGATTCATTCTTGTTTCAATACATTATATCAGGGAATATTTCTATCTTAATGGAGTATTGGTTTATAAAGTAAGGCCAGAAACCCAAACTGTGAGCAGTAACTATTCCACCTTCAAACAAAATTAAGACGTACCCATCTCCTTTCCCTCAAACCATTCTGCTCAAATTATACTGTCTCTGCTTCTTGCAAGGTTACTCTTCAAGCTTGTCTGGTGAATAAGACTAATAATCAGGCTGATCCATTAATTGCTGAGAAGGATGGGTTCAGGGTCCTGTTACTTACTTGCTCCACTCCACAGTTCAGAGAGCTAAACAAGCAGTCAGTCATAGTGATGTTACAGAAAATGGTTAAGGCAAATTGAAAACAACAGCTTACCAAATCTATTCTGATGAAAAAGGGGTGGTGGCAATTTGTAAGTGGATCAGTTGGCAGATCCTCAAAGGTGCTAATGTTTGACAAAGTGGCTTTCTGTTGTTCCCAAGGGGTGTATGCAGAAACCTTTTTAGCCTGGGTAACATCTAGAAAGTGAGGCATATCCTTAAGTGAGTCTACATAGCTGAACTACGACTTAAGTTGGGGATCCCACTAACATAAGTTGCAGCTCCCATGTGGAACCACATAGATACATGGCATGTACATGTTTTTCCCAGTGAGTAAGTCATCTACACAGCTCTTATACCTTCAGCACATGAAAGTTGTTATAAAATATCACTTGAATTTTGTTCATATGCTTTAATTGCTCTTATTCTGTAATGCAATCTGCATTCAAAGTAAGATTTTTTTAATCCATGTTTTGTCAATGCAAGATTTTGTCAAGCAGTGACTCAATCGTGCCCAAAGTCAGGATTGTACCTCCTAGAATCATAGAATCAGAATCAGAGGGGTTGGAAATGACCTCTGAGATCATCAAGTCCAACCCTTGATCCACTGCCACCACAGTTACTAGACTATGGCACTAAGTGCCACATCCAGTCTCTTCTTAAATACCTCCAGGGACAGAGAATCCACCACCTCCCTGGGCAGCCAATTCCAGTGCCTTCTCTTGCT